GGACATCATGCTTCGTTAAAGAGGGTCAGCAAGAAAGAGGAAGACCCTCACTGAGACAGACTGACACGGTGGCTGGAAAGATGGGCTCAAGCAGGGCGAGGATGTGAGGACGGTGCAGGCCCAGGCAGTGATCCTTTCTGTTGTACATGGGGCTACTTGACAGCACCAAACAACAACAATGTTCCAGAGTATGGCTCTACCACACTGGGTTGGCCCATTCATCTGCCGATGGCTATTGTGAAAAGTGCTGCAGCAAACACTGAGTACAGGCTTCTGTTTGAGGTCTTCAGTTGGGACTTGTTGGAAATGTCCTAGATAGACCTGCATGCAAATAACTGTGGGAACACTGATCCAGATGGAGTGGGGCACAGAGCTCTCTCTCAGGCCTCCACAGCCCTGCTCTCCCCTACCATGTCTTCCCTTACTCTCCTTCCCACAACCCTCCCAAACTTGCAGACTTAGCTGACCCCCAAGACTCTACTCCAGTGTCACCTCCTCCGAGGAGCCTTCCGCACTCCTCCCATGCAGACCGGCTGAGGGGGCGCCCCACCTAAAGCTGCAGCACCCTCCACTTCTCCTGCCCTTGCCCCTGGCCCACAGTCCTGAAAGCACCCGCTGAGCACGAGCGGCACCTGCAGACAGGGACCACTGGAGTCTGCGACCAGAGCCTGTTCTGGCCTGGCCCAGAGTGGCCACTTGGTGGACAGCCACCAGCCAGCTCCAGAGCGGCCCCTCCTCACAGCCGCCGCGGCCCACCAGCAGCTCCACCACCTTCAGCCCGACCCCCGCTGGAGGAGGTGATGACACAGGAAACACGAGCCTGTGGAGAGACCGGAGTCCAACTTCCAGCCAGTGTCAGCGGAGGCCTGGGTGCGCTGGGAGGCTAAGGTTTCAGGGGAGCCACCAGACCGAGACAGACGAGCAAGAATGGCCTGGTGATCTGTTTCTGAAAACCCTGCGGATCACGGCAGTCGGATCCCCGGCCCACGGTGGGAATGAATGGCGTGGAGCCCGGCAGCAGCCCCTCCTGCTGTGCACGGGGTCACCAGGAGCCAGGGACCAACTAAATGGCCGCTAGCCACAGCAGGCCCAGCCCTGAGTGGGGTGCCCCACAGGGACACAAGCCCCTGGCCAGCTCCGACAGGGCCCCCAGACGACTCTCCTCAGCCCGTCCAAGTCTAGGCCTGCCTCACTGCCAGGAAGATGCGACCCCCAGCCCTCTCCACAGTGCAGCCGTGTGACACCTGTGACGGCAGCGACGGGTCTGCTCCCAGGCCCCCTGTGGCGCTCAGCAGCAATGCCTCATGCCGACAAACCATCCCAGCACCCTAACCTCCTCTCGTGTACCCCAACCCCAAAGGGAGAAGGGTGGAAACCAATCCAACTCAGAAGACACAGGACACTGGACACTCACTCCCCTTCACATCCTGTTTCAAATTCACGTCAAAAGAGCAGCAAGCCCACCTCTGGCGGGAGCAGGGCCTGGCATGCAGTCGGATACCAGAGTGCGCACTGGTCCCGGGCGCCCACCCCAGGCCCCTGGGCCCACACAGAGCCACCCACCACCACACGGTGCCTGAAGACACTCCCGAGCCCCAGAACCAAGGCTAACCTGCAGCACAGGAAGCTGCAGGCTGGGGCAGGTCCGAGGCAGGGTCTGGCCCCGCTCAGTGGCACCCCGGCAAGACCAGAGGAACTCGTCCTGGGGCAGTTCCCTGGAGACCCAGGAGCCCTCTGCCCTGGAAGGAGAGGGGGGCCGAGCAGAGGCACTCAGGTCCTGTGGGCCCCAAGTCCATCAGCATCACTAGGCCTGCATCCGAGGTTTCAAGATCCTTCGAGGAGCGCAAAGGTTTCACACTAAGGAGTCTGAGGAGCGCCAGGGCACACAGGTGAAGACCATTTCCCATCCATGCTGCCCACGGAAAGACCATGACCATCTTCAAAGATTCTCAACCACCCTTCCTAAGGCTGGGAGGGGGTCGCTCGCCTGACCCGCCGACCACACCCCAACCAGACTCAGTGAGCACCCGAAACGTGGACAGTGCACACAGTAACCCCGGCGCTCCCGTTTGCAAGTTGGAAGCTCGCAATCTCCTCCTCAGCTCGCCGGAACCCGTTCTCTGTCCCTCAGCCCTGTGAGCCAGGGCTGTGCTGAGAACCCAGCAGGGAGCCATTCCAGGCTGCCCTTATTTGACTGCACGCTGGGCTGGAGCTGTGAGCAGAGGCCTCCGGGGTCCTGCAGCAGGAGGTGCAGGCTGCGCCCCACCTCAGAGAACACGCCTGCTGACAACAGAGCAACCGTAACATCCGGCCCTTTCCACCAGGCCAGAAAATAAAAGTTCAAATGAAACCCACCCAGCGTCAGCACGCCAATACTTAAGCACCACCACCATTTCCTCTTGGCTTCCTGCAGGGAAACCGTTCAAGTGATAACATGGCCAGACACACATGAGCACTGCCCTTGCCTAGTCCAACTTCACGGCCATGGAGTCAATTCCCACTCACAGTGCCCCTACAGGTCAGAGCAGGGCTGCCCCAGGGTGTCTCCAAGGCTGTCATCTTTACGGAAGCAGACTGCCACATCTTTCTCCTGCAGAGCGGCGGGTGAGTTCAAACTGCCAATCTTTCAGCCTGCAGCCAGGCACCTACCCACTGTGCCACCAGGGCTCCCACCCTTACCTGGTAATAGGTCTTAATGCTCCTCACCAAGATGCTCAGGTTCTGAATGCGAAGGTTCACATCATTGTTGACGTGTTTGTTGATGCGCTGGTTTGTCGGCCTGGGATCTCTAGGGAAAGAAACACAAGAATGGACGTGGCATCTCCCAGCACCTGCCCACTTCCTCTCCCAGCTGCCGGCTCAGCGCTCAGTCCCCCAGCCCAGGTACTGCTGGGCCTTGACCGCAGGGCTCAATCCACATCCTCATTCTGCCACTGCCGAGCCCTGGGTCTTAGCTGGACCTCCTTTCTGCCCCCGAACTATGACATCCAGCTGTTTGGTTTCCAACAAGATAACAGATAAAAATCCTAGCTCAGATCCTGGATAGAGGGAGAGAACAATGCGGAGCTAAACTCAAAATCATAAAAAAGACCAGGTTTACTGGTCTGCAGAGTCTGGTGAAACCCCCAAGACTATGGCCCCTAGTTACCCTTCAAGTCTAGAATGTAACTCATGCCCATGGCTTCTAGCCAATAAACAGGCATATGGGGCAAACATTTACATCAGGTACATACACTCCTTAGAGCAATCAATCGTGGGAGAACAGAAGGGCAGTGTTTGCACAGGAAGACAGATCAGAGGGCAGGAGTGCACAGGAAAGGAGGACACAAGGAAGAAGTAACTACAGGGAAGAAGTGGGAAGAGAGTTGTTACACTGTGGGGAACTGCGGTCAACGTCATGAAACAAAACGTGCACGAGCTGCTGTATAGAAAACGAATTTGCTCTGTAAACTTTCACCCAAATCACAATAAAATTTTTTTAAAAAAAGTCACTAGCTCACCACAGGCCCCTTAATCGTTATTTCTGTTCCTACCCATTAATAAACATGTACAGATGCAGACAGAAAAGAGTTATGCAGTATAAAAGTCAGTACCCTAACCACAAAGATATTCCAGGACTAAAAGGGTTAAAAACTGAACCAACCAAGACACATGAAATATCAGGAAAGGTCCAAAAACATAAATCCACTGCCATTCCTGACTCATAGCAATCCTACAGGGCAGGGTAGAATTGCCCCATAGGGTTTCCAGAGCCATCAATCTTTACAGAAACTTCCCTGGAACAGCTGGGGGTTTGAACCACTGACCTTTTGGTTTTAGCAGCCACGCACTTTAACCACCACAGTACTAAGGGTCCTAGTCAAGAAGAGTAGGAAAGGAAAAAGAAATGCTGTGTTTCCGGGCTTGATAAACCAATGAAACCATTAACATCCTCTGTAACGTGGATTCTCCCTCCTCCCCCAGGACTTAAGCCGGTCCTGCCTGGGACGCTCATTCCAGGGACATGGCTCTATCTTGAAAAACCGACATAAGCAGTCTATGACATGATGCGGTGTGCCACAGACCCTGCCAAGAAACACCAGGAGCGGACACAAAGAGCGTCCCTGGTGGTGTAGACACGTGACACGCTCGCTGCTAACCGAGAGGCCGGGGGTTCCAGTCCGCCCGGAGGCACCTCAGAGAAGGGGCTGGTGACCTCCTTCTGAAAACCCAGCCCCTGCCAACCCTGCGGGGCCCAGTTCCGCTCTGACCCACGTGGGGACGCCACGAGTCAGAATCGACTCCGTGGCAACCGGTTTAGAGACACAGATAATTCAGATGATTCACGTGGGAAACCCCCAGAGTGTCATTTCTCTTCCAATCTCCTGGAAAAGGCAGGTCTGGTTATGAAACTGAAATCCAACAATTGATCATCTCACTTATCTGTGTACAGGACATTTATCAGAATTCTCCGTGTCTAAAGGCAGACCCGAGCGACAGCTTTTCACAACAAAGCCACTCTCCCCTACGACTGTCCCAAGACAGCAGAAAGGACTTCTAATTCAAATGAGGGCCTGTCTTCACGCCTGCCTGTCATCCAAGCCCTGTGACAGGGTGCGGAGCCTTCTGGGGGCAGGTGGTTAGAAGAGAGGCCGGCTTCCTCCTCCTGCCTCTTAACAGTAGCACATGAAGGGGGTTTAGGGGGCACCAGAAATAAATCTCAGTGCCACTGGGCTTATTCAAACAAAGCCAGTAGTTAGCAGAAAACCATGTCAAACGTCACTGGTGGTACAGTGTTTTTTTAATATAAGCTGTTTAAAATTCAACTATTAAGTAAATATTTGAGATTTACACTAGGAGCCCTCACACTGTGTCAGGTGTGAAGCCAACCTTTCTACATCATAATCAGCTGTGGACTTTACCGAGGCCTCGTGCGGCCCCTAAAACTGTTGCCTGGGGACCTTAAGGCAACCAGAGGGGCTCTTCCCAACTGCCAGGTGACAGCACGTCTTACTGCCCCCCACGCAGGAATGAAGTCTGGCCGAGCCCGGTACATGTTTCCCTTGCAATTCATTCCTGAGAAAATAAAGGTTAACGGTGGGCATGTAAGCCCCAGAGGCCTTTTTAGCTGCGGGAGGGCACCCAGCATTACAAAATCATTTATCCTGAAAGTGCGACTGTCCTGCCTCGCTGAGACACACTCCCAGAGATGAGAAGCAATTTCATGAAGTGACAATGTGCTGCTTACAACAGTAGAGCGCAGAGCACACGCAGGGCTTTCCCACGATGCTGTCACTCTGCTCCCAGCTTTCCCTCCAGTGGGACAGGACTCTGCAGAGATGGGAAAGGTCCCGGCACAGGTCGTGTGGGGCCACTGCCCATGGCTGGGAACCTGGGCTTCCATTTGCCAGAACGTCTCTGACCACCCTGCCTGGATTCTGGGAAGAAATCCCTAATGGAAACACACTCTCAAAGAGCCTTGGCGTTGACTGAATGAGTAATTCAGTAACTCGACTAACAGGTCCTGACCATCAGCACTGCTCATTGAAGTAAGGCTCCCAGGGCAGATGGAGGGGATTAGGAAACAAACCAAACCAAAAGTCTCCGATGGTTGGGGGATGGCTGGGGAAGGCCTAACTACGAGAGGCGCACCTCTCCCCACTACAGGGTCTGCAAAAGCCACACCTCTCCCCACTGCAGGGTCTGCAAATGGGGGTCGGCAGGCAGGGGCTGCACTCCAGCTCCTGCGACTGGCCCACGTTCTCCAGGACAAACTGTCAAACGCCCACGGATCCTTCCAGCGTGAAAACGCTTCGATGAAGCCCAGGTCTGCATCAGCAAGCCTGAACGGTACCTGGTGCTCCATCCAGGAAGACGACATGACCAGAGCCACTGCCCAACTGCATTTCCCAGAAAGCTGCTGCTAGTAACAAGGATCACCTTTACACAGCTATCTACAGCCGTAAAGATTTATGGCCTCAGAAACCCAATGGGGGTCACTGTGAGTCAGCATTGACTTGACAGCAGCGAGTTTGGTTTTGGTTCTCCTTACATGGCAGCCAGAGAACAGAAAAACCCCACATCCTAGCAGCAGAATATTAGAGGACAGGACACAGATGTGGACGCAAGTGTCTGGTAGCTGGTGCCAACTTGGAGCCCTCCAAGTTCAAAGACTAAATTTAACACTGACTTGAGAAGCCAGGTGCTGATGTGGAGAGAGGCAATAGCCAAGGGACATTGCAGGTTAAAAAAGGGACACTACCACCTTTCAGCCAAGTAACATACTGGCTCACAAAATAAGTTATACCACAGTGGTGCGGGGCATTACTAAATGCTGCTCTTCTGGCCA